AGAGAGAGAGAGAGAGAGAGAGAGCTTTGCAGAGCACAGCGTTTCCAGGCCAGGACGGCTTGCTAGCAGACACCTTACCCGAGGCTGGAGCAGCCGATGCAGTTCCCTGCATAGAAGCAGCTCCACTGCGTGCTCTCCTGCCGTGGTTCCAAAAGCTCTTTTGGCAACGGCTCTGTAGCTTTCACCCGGAAAGTCACTCCATCCTCTGAGGTTGAAAGCCTCCTGCCTCCACGGCTTCCAGCTTCTGGGCTTGGGTCTGGCTCTTCAAGACCTCAGATGTGCTGCTTGACATCTGCACTAGCCCCTTTTTCATAGCTGCCATGAACCCCTCGTGAAGATCGTGACGCCCAGCACAAGTTACTGCTTCCTACGATCCCTTCCCGGAGAGGGGCGCATGAACAGCAGCCACAAGCATCACGCAAAACACCTACAACAGCTTCGAGCATGGTCGAGTCTCCCTGCACAGTGCGGCCGCAATCCTGAGCATGGAGCCGTCTCGCCCACCGGTGAGAAGATATAGCAAAGCCTTTGTGTGAAGGGTTTGGGTTCAAGGATGTGGATGTTTGGTTCGGGCTCAGTCTTTGCCATGGGCTCTCACAGAGTCGCGACACTCTTGGTGTAAGTGCTATCCTCTGTTCTTGCTGCTGCAGCCCTACACCAAGATGGCATGGTGATCCTAACGGTCAAGGACAACCAATACTGTGCACTTCTTGGCCCCCCACTGCCCTAGTTTGCGAAAGACTGTTGAATCATGCATCTGCTCAGTGAAAAGGGTGCCATTTCCACCCCAGATGCCAGCGATCTGTACTGTACTGCTGCGCGATGCTCAGAATGTCAGGGATTTGCCCGTAATTTCGGGCTAAATTTGAATTGCTATGGGGTGTAGGAAGAAGATGGTGTTGGCTCGACGGCACTGGTCCGCCACCGAGGAAGGCACGCGATAACCGCATGAATGCGTAGGCAGATTCCACGACAGAATGGCCTCAGCGACACCAGCGAAATCCTAGGAATCTTATAGCTTGAGCTCCGGTGGATGGGGATTTCGGGACAAGGTAACCAACAATGCGCTTGCCCCACCCACAAAGAGGAGGAGGAGGAGCCCACCACTGCTGTTACTGCTACTGACACGAATACTAGAACATCTGGCGTGCGTGTGATGGTACTGGTGCATGCAGTAGCAGCAGCCGCAGAAGTACTGGTGATTGTACTGTGGTCGTAATGGGGGGAAGAGGCGCGAGCAGAGGGGGACACGCTGCAACAAGTGCCTGCATAAGGATCCACGGATCTAAAGTTCTTAGAGCTGTACGGGTCTGAAGCTTTCGGTGGAAAGCGAAATACACAGAAGTATCAAATATGCCCAGCACGCAGCCCAACGCTCTCATGCTCCTATCCGGTAAACTTCCAGTGGCATAGCAATGTGATGAGAACAGTAGAGCACCAAGAAGAACCTGAGCGACTGCAATCTGAATGTGCCTTTGAATCCGACATGCTAGTGAGTGAGAAGGCAAGCCCAAGTACCCTCACGAGAGCGTGGCTGAAGTACCGCCTGAGCCACAAAGCCCTTGATCCAAAGACTTAAACTCTTCAAGTCATCTCGAGCTCCTGACTTCATGAGCCACTGCGTCACGCAATGCTTCTCTGTTCGCCGCTGTTCTGCTTGGCAGATCAGGCCTGAATGACCCGTCATAATACAAGTCAGAAGCAAATCATAGGTTTAGGGTTTAGGGTTTAGGGTTTAGTAATAACGAAATGAGTAGAGCCAGTAATCCAGCATTACGGCTTGAACAAGATTCGCCGCAGCAATGGTGACGTCCGACTGCAGACAGCGGATTAAGAATGCTACACTACTGCTACTGGCGAATAGAGTCCAATCAAAAGCTATCGTAATGAGGACCCGAACGGAAAGAACAATGCTTTGGCCGAATTTGGCCAATTCACTACATATGACTCAACATACTCAAGGATCCGAGCCTCGGAAGACAGACCTGCTTCGACAAACTGTTGTTGGACGGGACATCAAATCATCATGAGAACTCAGGGATCATTTGGTGGAACTCTTCACAGGACAAGTGGCTGACACTAGCAGCCGGCATGTTTCAGAACGCCAACGGAACATCGAAAGATCATGGCATGGCACATCCACCACAGAGTCTGATTCCAGCACGATGCATCAAAGGCATCGATTGGATCTCACAAGATCAGGAAAGCTCTAGGCATTTCTCGGGACTCCTTGAAACTTCGGATGACAAGTAGCCTTCAACCGCAAGCGAAATAACCCTGCGCCAGCCCGGATTTTATGAAGCAAGGGCGCTTTGCAGCGTTTCCGCATCACGGGGTGCGCCCTTTGCACGGGCCACGGAGGCCTCCCATCCGAATCATTAAGGCCTTACGTGGGTTCACTTGTGCTGTTGGGTCTGGGGTCTCGTCATCTGGCTGAAGCCAACGACATGAAACCGGTGCACGGCGAGCAGAATTGGGCGAAGGAGAACCTCCATGCCTTCCACTTCTCCTGGTTTACCCTAAACCCTTGGCATGGAGCCCTACAAAAGCAATGAACTACGCAAGGGGGGCTAATTGGTGCCGGATGGCTGCTAGACTAATGCGCCGGTAGCATCTTTATTTCTTGCTTTCTTGTTGGCTCACGAAACTATGAAAACTCCGGTTTGTCTGAAAGCAAACGATTCTGTCACCGAAAACGAAGGAGGAGAACGTTGTGCCAAGACATGCCTGCACGCTCGTCATCGCCATCTTCATCGCAACCACTGACGTTGGCACCATCATCAGCGGCAGCATATCATGCTTCATCTTTATCAACATTATCCCCATCATCATCATCAGCAGCAGTGGGCCCTGGTCATCATCACGACCAGTCTCGTGACAATCCTCTCAATGACTACCATCAAGACCAACATGGAAACATTACGGTGGTCGTCACCACCATCATCATCATCATGATCATCATGATCATGACGATGATCTTCATCATCATCAACTATCAACAACATCACCATAATCGCAGCGTCATCATCATCATCATCTTTATCGGCATTGACATCGCGACTGTCGTCATCGGTAGCAGCCGCAAGGCCGTCCATCATCGTCACCAGATACGCTGACGTCCACAACGAACGCGGGACACATGATGACCACTGTGCTTGAGGCGACATCTGGCTCAGCAAACACGACCAGCATTGCGATCATCGTCACCACAACCGAAGCCGTGCCTTGGTCGATCATCATCATCATCATCATGTCCACCATAAAGAGCTACTGAGACAATCGAGGCAACAACGATACTTGTCATAGTGAAAGCCAACGACAATGAGGAGACAACAGACGTCTTTGCGATTTTCTTCGGGACCCTTTAGTGGGAAAAGGTGCAGAAGTCTGCTGGCAGCAGATGAGGCAACACTCCGCCTTCATGATTTCGTGGATCCGCTCCTGCAAGGTGCATCTGGTGTAAGCCCAGATGTAAGGCTTTAGTTAGTACTATTACTTACTATTACTATTACCATTTTTGTTATCATTGTTATTATCATTGTTCTCATGATTATTGCTACGAGTATTATCAGTATTGTTAATACTATTGATACTATTGTTATTACTAGTTTAATTGGAGCGTATCTGTCTTCTGGTTTGCAGGTTTTGCTCTCCCTTTCCGCCGACGCCTCGCTGACCGGCTGCTCCAGGAATTCTGCGTCATCGTTGACATCGAGAACCTGCATGTGCTGCGCAACCTCGGTGAAAAGTAGCGAAAAATCTGGGCACCGAACTATCCTGCAACCATGCCCTGAAGCCTCACTACGACGAAACCTCGACGCCGATGGCCTGCAAGCAACCCAACCAAGCCTAATATAGGGGCCTTAATAATCACAATAGGGCTTTGGCACCCATTCTACTATATTTCAAAAAAGGAACCCCCAAAATAATATTGGTAATTCTTTAGGCCCCTATATTATTCGACACTTTTGCCCAGGCGCCAGTGCAGTGGAGGACATGCGCCGGAGTGTGGTCTCGGTCCGCGCCGCCAAAACTCGACGGACGCCCTCGCGGCCTCGACGAAATCATGAAAAATTACAGAGTGGATCAAAGGTTCCGGGTACTTTATCAAAGGTTTCGGGTACTTTTTCGTGTACATTTTTAATTACCATGTTGGCGGGCAATCAACCTCGAAACGCGGTCCCGGTGCAGCTTGGGGCTTTGGAGCTCCCTATCACCGCTCCCACCCTGACAGTTCATGCTCACCCTCAGTTCATGCTCACCCTATATACACCCCAAGAAACCTTCAAAGAGATAGAAACGCTTTCAATAGCTTTGGGAGAACTGGCATGGAAGAAGCTTCTGCAGCAAGGCTGTCTGGGCACGCACGACCTGATGTGTTCAGAACGGTGCAAAGCAGTACTTGTGCCTGCAATCTGCTCCAGATGGTTCAGGCCCGTCTCCTTGTCCTGCCCAACATCAACACATCTTTGTGAGCGTGTCTGCGTGTACTCAAAAGTCCAGCTGTGAGGACTGTGCAGACTGCGCAAGTCGACTCTTGCAGAGGAGAACAACCCACATGTTGCCACGCGCAAGCACTAACTGCCACAGGCTCTGCCAGAGAAAGTCTGACTTCGCTTCTGAGTGGAAAAACCAGCTCCTGCATAGTCCCGCAGGAAGCAAGACCGCTTATTGTCGAAGTACTAAGCACAAGCTGGTGGTAATGGCAAACGCGCACGCCACAGGAGAGGGCTCGGAAGCCCTCCCACCGTGAAGCGTGGCATAGCAAAGGGAGCTCGTCCAGCAGTTTGCCCCCAGAACGATCTTAGGATTGCACCCGAAGACCGCCACGACTCACCTCTCCCAGCCCTTGTCATGACAAGGAGGTAACTTAACCAGGAACGAGGCGAATCGAAAACAGGGAGCACTGCGAGAAAACCAAAAGACGGCAGCTCGTTTTACGTGCCACCGTCAGGGGACATGTCATCGCTTAGCGCTGACCAAGAAAACAACCCTGCAGCTTACTTCGTCGCCGACTCACCGTTGGCGACCTTGCCAGCAGCAGCCTCCGCGTCAGTGTTCGATATGTCTTCCACGCTTGTGGACTTGGTCACACTGGGACCAAATATGGACATGCAGACAGGAAGGAAGATCAGCCCGTGTGAACCACCTGCCAAGACAATGCCAAAGAACATCTTGAAGAACACGCGGAAAACCTGACTGGCTGAGAATGCCAGAGGCAAGATGGCCAAGAAGGTTGTGCTGACACCCATGAAGATAGGCTGTCCCATTTCCTTCATGGCCAGCTCAGCACGCTTGGCACGTGGCAGCGATCCATCTTGCAGCCCGAAGCTGTGTGCCATGTGCATGGAATAATCCACCACCAGGCCAACAGCCATGACAAGGTTGATCATGCTGATGGAGTTGAGGGCCAGGGACCAAAGCACGATGTTGCCCATGAGGTCCATAAAGACCAGCGCAAGGACGAGAAGCACCACTAAAACAGAGAGGGGATGGGCCAAGACCAGCGCACTGATGAGGAGAACTGCCGCCAGGCAGAGTCCAATGCTAACTGTCATCTGCTCCACAATGATGCGGTACTGATCGAAGAAGATATACGCTTGCGCGCTCACGAAGCTTCCTGGCAGCGCGGCTTGCCACTGCTGAGTGAAAGCCTCGACCTCTTCGAGCAAGGTAACCTGCTCCCGGCTGTTGAAAGTGTCGATATGATTAGCCCGAATACGAACCACCTTGATCTGTCCGTTCTGGATCACCACATCATCTTCGAAGGCCCTGCCCCGAGGCGTTGCAAGGAACTCCTGAAGGGCGGTCAAGAAAGTACTGCCTGTGACCAGGTGACTGGTGCAGGTTGTGACACCGGAGGGCAAGCCGGCCTCGCAGCCGGTACGGTTGGTATCGACTGCGGTAAAGGCACTGTCAGGCAGGGAAGCAAGGACACCCTTGTTCTGCACAGCCCAAAGTGTGAAGATGGTGTGCCATGACTGAAGCCCCCGGACAGAGTTGACATTGTCGAGTGCCATCAACCCGGCGCCGGCCTCTTCTAGATGGCGCTGCACTGCCAGGGAGCTAACGTCCGTGTCTGCCACATACAAGGCACACGGCAAGGACAAGCCACCTGTTGAGAGGCCGCCGAAGTGGAGGCTTTCCATATTGTTGAAATCTCGCAAGTAGCTCTTGTCCGGTGACAGGTCCATGATGTTAAAGTCGGTACTGAGGCCCAGGCTCACCTGCCAGGCAGACACTGCAGCTACCGCGAGGAAAAGGATGATGGTGGCGAACGAGATGGCTGGGTGGCTGGTCAGGAACTTGATCATGGCCACGAGGGCCTTCTCAAGGATCGACGCGCCCTGCGAGTTCTCTTTGTTGGGCATACATGATGGACCGGCCGCAACACAGAAGCAAGGGTCCAGGCGAGGGGGGTCTGCTTCGGCACGCTTTGCATCGAGGGCGAGCAGGGCGCAGAAGGTGGTGCAGTGAAGAAGCCAAATGTAGAAGCAGGAGATGGCGGCATAGGCGCAGAAATACTGGACCGAAGGGAAGACACCGGTTGCCCCCAGCAGGAAAGAGGAGATGGAGGTCACCTTCGTCAATGTGATGGAGACTCCCACGCGCTGCACAGCTTTCTCGATCCGGTCAGGGATGCTCAGGGACTTGTCGGTCGCATCGAAGGCCCCGGAGATGACGAAAGCATCGTCGATGCCAATGCCCACGAGAATGAAAGGGAGGATCTGCTGCAGCACTGTGAATGGAACTCCGATCAGCATGGAGGTGCCGTAGCCTGCGATGCACCCAAAGAGCACCAGGAAGAACTCGACTTGACCCAACAGCCTTCTGCTCTGTGTCCACGATGCTGTCTTGCCGAGGAAGATCGAGCAGAATGTTGCCATCACCACAAAAGCGATGGCGAAAAGTGGAATGTCCGCTCGAACTGTTCTGTTCAGTTCGTCGTCCTGGGAGCGTTGCGCCTGCACAAAAGCATCCACGTGCTCATAGCGTTGAGTAGAGAGCTGGTCCTTGGTGAAATGCTCCACCAGAGCCTCCTCCCATGCCATCGAATCGCTGTCGGCATTCAGGATGAAGTCGACACGCGCGGCGGTGGCACTCGTGATGCTGCCGCTGCCATCGCGCCCAATGCCACCCAGTGAGTCATCGGCGAATGCTGGAGCACCGTCGGGGAAGCTGGCCTTGTTCACAGCAACCAGGATGTCGGCTTGAGTCGTGACTGTCGAATTGAAGTCGGCAGTGGTACCGGTCCCAAAATATCGGCGGACCCCAGCATTCAAGCAACCGGAGGACACCTGAAGGCAGAGACCGGCGAAAGTCGCTCCATCAGTGCCCGAAAGTGCTTTCACATCATCAGCAAGTTGGAAGATCTCGGCCATTGTCTCCAGTCGCAGAATGCTACCACCATCTTTCGCAGTGACCAGGATGCGGTTCATTCGGCCGCGGGCGGGGAAGTACTGCTCAACCCACACCAAGTCCTTCATGACCTGCGATCCTTGATCTACCCAAAGATCACGAGCTGCGTTCACGGCCTTGAAGCGCAAAACGCCCACGGCACAGAGCAAGCAGCCCACGACGGTCACCGTCACACATTTCCAAGGATTGCGCGCGCAAGATTTGGCGGCCCTGCCCAGTGCATGGGCCACTGCCTCCTCTCCACGCGAAGTGCAGGAAAGCCAGGCTTGCAGGGGCGACATGGCACCAGTGTCTCGCAAGTCTTCGCAAGGCCAAGGATGCGTCTGATTCTTGAGCCACAGGTCTTGCTTCATTGCGGAACCCCTCGTTTGCTGGCCCAACCCCACAGCATCATGCGCAAGCTGCCACGACAAGAGTTGCGTCCTTGAAGTGGGTGAGAGCGAGATGGTAGGCCTTTCGCGGGGAGGATTTGGGAGCCAAACAGAAGGGGAAAAGACTGGACTGAAAAACTCCCCTCGCCTCCTTGAGGTTCTCCTTCCAGATGATGAAGGGGAACTCGGCCCGAGTGGCAGCTTTGGCCATCTGCCAGTACTCCTCATCCTGGGGTCTTTTTTCTTTTGGGAACCCTTGCAACAATGCCCTCAAGTCTAGGCTTGCAGGAGACACGCGACCCTGTCGCGCTTTTGCTGCCACGTGGCAGGCATGTCCAAGGCATAGTCGACCGCACAGTTGAAGGCTTCAAGGAGCATGTGGGGGGAGTCGGCATTCTGCTGACGGAAATAAACTCCCGGCATCTTGCCCAGACCACCAATAGCACAGCCCACAGAAGGGACACCCAGCAGACCGAACTCCACGTCCACATAACCTGCAGCCGAGTCGGGCAGACATTAAGACCATGCGAGAACACCAAGCCATCACTTTAGGGAAGCCCATGCGCAGTCATAGATTCAGATGGCATGCTTAAGCCAAAACGGGTAACAACTTACCTGGCAGTTGCAATACCTACTTTAGCATGGCTTCGTGCGGCTTCATGGAGTGGCATGTTCCGAAAAGGAAGCTTCTAAACACAGCATGGACGTAACATCCTGCGCGATAGGATGAAGGTGATCTGGGGAAGAGACTTGACACACATTGGGCACGGGCATGCTTCTCGAGACGAAATAGCGGATAGCGCGATTCGAGATAGACCTGCGCTGCCGTTCTCTCCTCAACCCTGGACCCTGAACCCCCAAAACGAGCCCGTCAAGCCCCCTTTTGTAGTTGCCGAAGCCAGGGCACCGAAGGGCTCCGAGCAAGAGGGCGTAAAGCAGAGGTGCGCACCACGGCGGAGTTCCTGTGGAGGAGGCCCGAAGCCAAAAGGGGCATAAGGGATGTGATCAAGGGAGCTGTAAGGGCTGATGGAAGGGCTACTGCAAGGTTTGCTACTAGAGGCTCTACGGGTTCTTTTGAGGTGACTACAGCTGAACTTCAAGCGGAAGTTGCCATAGTGGTAAAGATCGTGATGATTCTGATGGCGACGATGTGGATGAACATGATGATGGTGATGAGGAATGACGATAGTCATAGCGGTTGTGGTGCCGACGAGGACATGGCGGGATATTGGCGATAAGCGTTGACAATAGTGCCAATGCCGGCACTCATGCCTTTGCATCTCCACTTGGAGTGGGTTCAGGGATTATGGGGCAACAGCATGCAACAGGCTTCAGCTGACTGTAAACTGCATGGCAAGAGATGGTGGACAGGAGTCACGGTTCGGCCCATCGGTACTAAAGTCCTGGTACCAATCGGAATTCCATGGTACCCGAGAACTGGACTCTCAACCCTAGACCCCAAAGCCCCAACACCTAAACCCCAAGCCCTAAACCCTCACACCCCAAATCTCAAACCCCCCAAACCCCTAAGGTCCTAAAACACCAAAGCCTAAAACCGTAAACCCTCAAGTCCTACCCTCAAACCCGAAACCTCAGAGCCCCAAACCCTCAAACCCTAAACACTGGAACACCACAAACACCGTCAAAAAACAAACAAGTTTAGGGTTTAGGGTTTAGGGTTTAGGGTTTAGGGTTTAGGGTTTGAAACACGTAAAAAACCACGAAACCCGTAAGCCCCGTGCAAACCCTGAACCCTCGCCCAAGCCCCAGACCCCAAACCCTAAAACCCTCAATCCTCTGCCCTTGAGGGTTTAGGGTTTAGGGCTTCGAGTCTGAATCCTCTCCTTTGTGGTTCGAAAATTAGAGTTTAGGGGTTAGGGTTTAGGGTTTAGGGTTTAGGGTTTAGAGTTAAAAGAACCCTGCTTTGGTGCCTTCTCAAGGTAGAAGAACTCGGTGCAGACGAAAAGCCGACCTTTTTCTTCGGGCTTCTGATTTGGGCTCTTCTAGGATTGAGTAGGGTTTAGGGTTTAGGGTTTCGGGTTTAGGGTTTAGGGTTTAGTGTGGGGTTCCGGGTTTTTCGGTCTACGGCTCAGTATGTTTTGAATGGGTTCGGGGGTAACTATGGGCTTCAGAGTTGAGAGTTCCTAAACCCTATAGGAACCCTAAACTGGCCCTAAAGCCTAGACCCTTTCTCATACCGAGCCTTCGAACTTCGCCTTCAGTGGGACTAGCATCTCCTGCGCGTAGAGGCCGAAGGGATCGTCCGGCGGGCCCGCCAGGACCATCTGCACATTCTGCTGGCTCCGGAGGATCTCCTGGCTTTTTGAGGGAATCCGTCTGAGATCTCTGGAAAGGAACGACCCGAGCCTTCAGATCTCATAAATCGAGGGAGTTTCGAGCTCTAATTAGAGAGCATCTGTATGTGGATAGAAGGGATGGATGGACCAATGGATGGATGGACGTGGCTGGCTGGGTGGCTGGCTGGCTGGCTGCGTGGATGGAGGGATGGAGGGATGGAGGGATGGACGGAGGAATTAATGTATGTATACATGTCATGTCATCTAGTAGAAGGAAACATGGTGTATTGCAACAGAATGTAATGCATGCAACGAGGTTGGATATGTATGTGCACATACATCGATAATATGTCTATGCATTTGCCCATCTCTGTCTTTGCTTGTTCTTTGTTTTATACATGCGTCGGCTTGTTCTTTAGTTATCTATACTCAGTGTGAGAGTGTTTGAAAATATAAATGTACATGTGTAAGTACTGGTTTGTAAGATGCAAATTTTGGGATTAGGGTGCTCAGATGCACGGAGCTGAAAAGCTGGAACCGCTTCGCTCGTTCAGTGCGGCAGGCCATCCAAAGGTACCACCCTCGCAAGATAAGCGTTCCTAAAAGTGTTCCGTTAAGGGTTACTATCAAGATTACTATATTGCTATAATATAGGTTGCCCTCATAACGGTTGCCATAAAGGTTACTAGAAGGCCTACTATACAGGTTACCACTTAGGCATATGCCTGCGACAAAACCGGATAGCATCTGGAGTATTGGTAATGGCGGTTTCCCAGGTGTCCTCCGTCAGCATTGCAATGTGGTCCACTCCCTTCTGCTTCACCCAGCGGCCGATAAAGATCAAAATCTTTGCTCCAGGGTCCTGGCAGAGGCTTCCGTGGAATGCCGAATGGCTTGCAGCTTCGATCCCTCAACCAAATTTGAAAAGATGCCGTCAGCTGATTGCTGATTGTACTGTCTTGGGGGATCGATATTCTCGGATCCATGATTACGAAGACGATTCCCAATGCCAATGCGTCTTGGTAATCGGGGCAATCTTCCACTCCCAGCTTACAGGAGCCCCTTCATGCTAGCTTCTGTGGAAATCTTCACGGAACTTCTATGGACATGCGATCGCACTTCTAGAACGCAGAAAAGTACTGGCCCACATGTATGACAGTACTATTCGAGGGAATGGCGTGTGATTTGCTAGCAGCGTCCCCAAAACAGGCACCCCCCCCAATTTACATTCGTCAATCTCCGGCTCCTCTCCAACACGAGAAAATTCTTATACATATACATATATGCACATATATATATATATACATATGTTTATGTCTGTGCGTGTGTTGACTATTTGTCCTATTTGGTTACCATTTATTCGTTGTGTATGCCCACGAACCCTACTTCTTAGATTGTTCCATGCTACTACGAATGTTGACATGGTGACACGGATGACAGAGATTTACGCAACAGTGCACGGTGTTCAAGTCCAGGACAAACACTGCTGTTGCTTGACGTTCCTCGACAGTCTTGCACATATCATGCTGATATACATTCTCCGACATAAACTGTTGTGGGATGGTTCTTGGAGGCCCTTTCCAATGTGTATTCGCTGCTATGTACTTTACTGAGTTTGACAGTAATGTTCAGGATCGGCCCAGCGCCCTGATCCAAGCGATCGAAAGGATGTAACCACATGTCAGGATCACAGACTTCTACTATGGATTCACTGGAAAGACAGCAGTCCTCGTTTAAGCTGCAGCGTTTTTGTAGCGCTGCCTTGGCGGCGTAACGTCTCTTTTTCAGCTCCTTCGTGCCTGGCGGGTGCAAAGTGCGCGATATGGAATCAACTAGCTGCAGCCTCAGTGATGCTGGTATTGGCGAGGCAGTCGCTGCTTCAGGCTTTCACAATTTCACCAGAACTTCTTCATTCTTCGCTAGCTGCAACAGCAGTTTCTGCCTGTCCCCTGGTCATCCGCTGGATCCGTGGCATTATCCAAAGGCAGGATGTTGGGCAGACCACGGAAGAGCATCCGCTCACCTCGGCTAGGTCTGTCCTGAAGATTCCTGTGGTGAGAGGGCCGCAGACGCTTGAAAAGTCTTTGGGGTTTCGGTTAACGAGGTGCTTCAACATGGACGAACGAAATCGCATGCTGAAAAGGACATGTGAATAGTCTGTCAGGACCCTCTGGTGTACCGGTGACAGATGCGGTTGCGACAGTGGCAATATGTGGCAATGGTGGTAGCCAGAAACAGGTTTCCCTGGCTGAGTGAAAAAGGCCCAATTGGGGTTGCAATCCTAGCCAGACTACAGTTCTAGACCCTGTAGAGGGGAGGAGGGCATGAGAAGTGGCGTAACAAAAAAACGATGAGGGACAGCAAAACTGAAAGCTGAAAGCCCTGCAAAAGCAGAAGATA